CGGGGCAGCGCCCGGGCCGGACTGCGGGGGCGGCGGCTCCGGGCCAGTCCTGGGGCACTGGCCGGGGAGCGGTGCCGGGGAGGGGTTCTCAGCGGCCCGAAGCACAGCTCCGGAGGGAGGGTCCGAAGGGGTGGCCCTGGAGGCGGGGGTCTGGGGGCAGCCCTGAAGGAGGGGGAAGAGGCTAAACTGAATAGTCTCAGAGGTAGAACCACGCGATGGTTCCGGGGGAGGTATACTGGGTTGGGAGTCCGAAGCCAAAAGACTAGCCCTGAGGGACGGAGTCTGAGGGGGTGGCACTGGAGGAGGGGGGTCTGGGAGACAGCACTGGGGGAGGGGACTGAGAAGACGCTCTGGAGTAACGGCGGGGGGCGGTGGCCCTGGAGGAGAGGGTCTGAGAGGGCGGCCTTGGAGAAAGGAGGGCAGGGAGGGTGGGAAAGGGAGGAATAGATCTGAGGAGTGTTTTGGGGGAGCAGCCCTGGGAGACATTACGTGAAATTAAGGTGAAGCTCATTCTCTAGCCGCCCCCCTTAGTTGGAGAGAGATCAACCAGTTGGGAAGATCATCTTTCATCCAAAACAACCCATATGTATTGAACACTTTCTATATATATGTGGGGCTCTGGGCTACTTGGGACTTAAAAAGAAAAAAGAAAAAGGAGGCTGATTCCCTGAAGTGTAGAGGTTTACAGCTTGGTGCGCAAACGTGAAACACAGGGCAGCAAAGGCCAAGTGTCAAAAAGGATACAGGCAGGTGCTCCGGGGGTCAGGACAGCCTTGATGGGGGACAGGTGAAGTCAGGACAGGTGTTATGGAGGGGGTGGGGGACTCTAGCTAGGCCTTGAGGAAAGGCTGGATTTAAATAAGGGAAGGGGGATGGAGAGGGTGTGTCAGGTAGGAAGATGGGGTGTACAGGATGTGGTTGGGGCAGTAGATCCATTCTCTGGAGCATAGGGATCCTACAGGAAAGTGCTGGGGGAGTGAAGGAAGCAGAAGACTGTGAGTTTCAGGATATTAATGAATTTGGGAGGGGAAATGGGAGTGGTGGCATTTGAAGGCTCTTTTAAGCAGGATGGCGTGTGGAAAATGGTGTTTTGTGGTTACCTGGTAATTTGGAGGTGTGGAAAGGGAACAAGCTTAGGAATCAGACTTACATTCATAAATTGGCTCTGTTCCATTTTTACAAAATGATGTTGGTATTAATGCATAAGGTTGCTCTAAAGATGATGTGCTTGGCACTTAATAAATGTTCCATATTAGTTCTCCTTCCAGTGTACAGAATAGTGACCAGAGGAAGCAGAGAAATTAGTTGGAGATTATTACAATAGTCTAGGTATAAAGAAATAATGATGACAATAATAGTGAACACTTATTAAATGCCTAGTTTGTATCAAACATTGGGCTAAGCCCTTTACTGTGTTATATCTCATTTAATCCTCATAAATAAACCCTGTGAAACAGATACTATTATTACCCCCAATTTAGAATAAGGAAGCAGAGGCTCTGAATAAGTTTGCCAAATGTGCATGATTCATAAGTGGCGGAGTGGGAAGCAACCTGACCTCAGAACACATTTTTTTTTCTAAGATAGGGTTGGGGGGAGAGATTTAAGAGACATTGGGCCAAAAAGAAGGAAAGGAGTTTGGAGTGATGACAAGTCCAGGAAGATGGATTGTAGTGTCTTCACAGAGATGGAGTGTCATAAGGACAAAGATGACAAAGAGTTTTAGGCTTGCTGAGGCCGCGGCGACCGTAAGATCCCTGAGATGGATATAGGAATGAGTTCAGTAGAGGGTGGAGAATGGACATTTTAGAAACCTCGAGGTCAATGTGATATTTGAAACTGAAAGATTGGAGTGGAAAAAGCAAAACTTCAGGCCCTGTGTTGAGACATACATATTCAGTCTAAAGAGTGCTCAAAAGATTGAGCAATCAGGGTCATAGGGTATATAGGAAAGGGCAGGAACATTTCAAGGAGATGAAGAGGGCTTGGCAGTATCAAGGAGATCACAGAGATTGAAGACTGAATACACACCATTGAATTTCCTGCTCACAGTCTAGCAGGGAGATAGGGACATAGCTAGTCACATGGTTTCATGCTAAATTATGACAGAGATGGGAGGGAAGTGTTACGGAAACATTGAGGAAAGAGCAACAAATTACCCAATGTCGGAAGCTTGGGAGAGGGTGCATTCCAGCAGGAAATTGTACATTCAAACCAGATATCAAGGATGGTGGACAAGGGTGGCAGTAGGTAATTAATGATAAAGAAGGAAGAGATTGGTATAAACAAATGGATGCTTATAGAATATAACCCTAAGGTAGGTCCCAAGTAGAGAAGGTCTAGAGACCATTGTGAAGCCAGCCCAAGAGGAGGTTTGGAGGCTTTAGAGTAACACTGTCAGATGAACTCACCAGGGCACAGATTTCTCTTTTCCCTTTTTTCATGGAAAAGGCATGGAACTTAGAGTCAGATACCTGGATCCGATATTGGTTGTCACTAATTTGTAGTGCACCTTTGGGCAAGTCATTTAATCTCTTTGAGCCTCAGTTTCCTCATTTGTAAAGTAAAACAATGACCCTGCCCTCTCCGCTTCATTAGATGGACCACACAAATGGTTGAGATTCACTTCGTAAACTATATAGTCAACTGAGCAGATGTTAGGAGAAACTTGGGTATTAATAATCTCATCAGGACGCATTATGCCAATACCAGAGCTTGCTGTAAGGCAACTGGATCCCTTCTCCCTTCACCTCCTCTCTTATTTCTTTATTCAACAAGTATTTATTAAGTATCTTTTGGGTGCTAGCTGGGCTGGGATATAAAGATTAGGTTACAGTTGCCTCCTTTAGAAAGATAATCAACTGGGGAGATAGACACATATAGATAGAAGGAAGATAGCATAATACGTGCTATAAAAGAAAATATATTTTTTAAAGATTTTATTTATTTTGTGACGGAGAGAGAGACAGCGAGAGGAGGAACACAAGCAGGGGGAGTGGGAGAGGGAGAAGCAGGCTTCCTGAAGAGCAGGGAGCCCGATGTAGGGCTCGATCCCAGGATCCTGGGATCCTGACCTGAGCCGAAGGCAGACAATTAACGACTGAGCCACCCAGGTGCCCCTATAAAAGAAAAGTTTTATGAAAGTAGAGAGGAGGGAACAACTAATTGTCTAGAGGTGGCAGGAGGGGAGATGGGCCTTGAAGGACCAGCAGGAATTTACTCTGTAGAGTGCAAAAAAGGAACCGTATATCCACAGGTACAGATAAATATGAATGCCACACTAAGGAGTTTGGACTTCAAGTTCTAAGCCAACAACTCTTGGAGTGTGGTTGAGACCCTTTCAGGGGGTCTGTGAGATCAAAACTATTTTCTTAACAATACTAAGCTTTGTTTGTCCTTTTAACTCTCATTCCCTCATGAGTGGATGGTGTGGCTTTTCTGAGGCTTCACAACAGATTGCAGAAGTAGACATGAGAATACAATTATCTTCTATTGAGTCAGACGATAAACAGGTTGTCAAAAGTGTAAAGCAGGGGCGTCTGGGTAGTTCAGTTGGTTAAGCCTCCAACTTTTGATTTCAGCTCAGGTCATGATCTTGGGGTCCTGGGATCAAGCCCCACATGATGCTCAGCGCAGAGCCTGCTTGCCCCTCTCCCTCTGCTCCTTCCTGCACTTGCGGTTTCTCTCGCTAAAAATAAATAAATAAATAAATAAATAAATAATGTAAAGCAATACCACTTTTCTCACTAATTTTTTTGAAATCATAACCATTTTTCATAAAAGTGTTATTTATGTTAACTGATTTATTGTTATTTGAAACAAATTAATATGTAAATATTTTAAAATTTCTCAGCTTTGATTTCTAGTGGTAATGACCAATAGATATAATTCACATAAACACAAGCTCTCTGGAGTCCTCAATAATTTTTAAGAGTGTAAAGGAGTGGAGCGCCTGGGTGGCTCAGTTGGTTGAACCACTGCCTTCAGCTCAGGTCATGATTCCAGAGTCCTCGGATTGAACCCCGCATCGGGCTCCCTGCTCATGCAGGAAGCCTGCTTCTCCCTCTGCCTGCCGCTCCCCCTGCTTGTGCTCTTTCTCTCTTTCTCTCTCTCTGTGTCAAATAAATAAATAAAATCTTTTTTTTTAAAAAAGAGAGAGTATAAAGGAGATCCTGAGACTAAAAGGTTTGAGAACCCTGTTCTGAGCAGCTGGACCTCACCGAAGGGGTTTGAATAAAGGAGTGACATGATAACATTTCAAAAAATTGTTCAACAAATATTTATTAAACACCTTGATGTGCCCAGCACGATTTGAGGTACTGGGATAGAGCAGTAAACAAATCAAATCAAACTCCCTGCTTTCACAGAATTTACATTATACTGGTGTGACAGACGGCAAACAAAATAATTAATGTATATAGCATATTAGATAGTGATAGCTGTTGAGAAAAGCCGGGAACTAGGATATGAAAGCTGAAAGGTGTGTGTGTGTGTGTGTGCATGTGATTTTGGATAGGGTCACCAGGGAATGTCTCAGTAAGAAAGTAAGTTTTCAGTAAAGGCCTGGAGGAATAAGGGAGTGGACTCTGCAGGTATCTGGGAGAAATGAATTCAGGCAGAGGGAAGAGCAAGCGGAAAAGTTCTGAAGCAAGAGCATGCCTGGCAGGTTTGAGGAACAACATGGAGGACCAGTGTGGTTGGAGTGGAAGAAGGGCGAGAGTATTAGGAGATGAAGGTTATGGAGGGGAGGTACATTTCTTGAGATAAAAAAGCCAATGGAAGATTTTGAGAATAGAAGAGACATCTTCTGACTTACCTTTAACAGAATCACTTTGGTTGTTGCACTCTGAGCAGGTTGAAAGGCCATACGCAGGAAGTCTAACTAGGCGGCCATTGCAGTAATCCTGATGCAGGACGATGGTGGCTTGGACCAGGGTCCAAGCAGGGATGGGAGATGTAGTTGGATTCTCGATAGATTTTGAAAGTAGAGTTGACAGAACGTGGCAATGGATGGATATGAGGAATGAGGAAAAAAGAAGAGTCAAACGACACCAAACATTTGAGTAACTACAAGAGTGGAGTCGCTGTTGTCTGACACAAAGAAGGCCACAGGAAGGACAGGTTTGAAGAGAACTATCAAGAGCTTGGTTTGGGACATGTTAAGTGGGAGATGTCTATTAAACACCCAAGTGGATGTGGCAAGTAGATGGTTTCATATGTGGGTCTGACTTCAAGAAAGAGGTCTAGACTGGAATATGAATTGGGAGGTTCTCAGAAAAAAAGATAGGATTTAAAAGCCGAAGGATCAGCCACAATTACTCAGGAGATGAATGTTGGTGGAAAGGAAGTTTTGATGACTCCATCCCAGGGGCCAACCTAATATGTTGAGTTTGGGAAAATGAAAAGGAATCAAAAAGACACTGGGAAGGAAGAGACAAAAGAAGAAAACCAGAATTGTGAGAAATCCTGGAGACTAAGTGAAGAAAGTGTTTTAAGGAAAAGAGAGTAATCAACTATACTAAATGCTGCTTACAGATTATCATACGAAGATTAAGAAACAGTCATTGGATTGACCAATGTGGAGCAATTGGTGATCTTGAGATGAGCAGTTTTGGTGGTTTGTAGGGGGTCAAACATCTGGTTGGAATAAGTCCAAGAGGGCATAGTAGAGGAATTGAAAATGTTGAGTACATACACCCTTTCCGAGGAATTTTGCTATAAAGGGAAGGAGAATGTGTGGCAGCTGCAGGAGGATGTAGAGTCAAAAGAGGGTTGTTTTTGTTTGTTTTCCTGATGGGAAGAATAATGTTTATAAGCTGACCTAGAACGATCCAGTGGAGTGGGGAAAATTGCTGCTGCAGGAGAGAGTGGGAGAATGGCAGAAACAATGTCCACAAGAATGCAAGTGTGCAAACAGAGAGGCTGACTGTGAGGAGAATTCATCCACAGGAAGAGGGAAGAAGAGGGCCTTTAGGAGTGTAAATTTAGTACCAGTGTGGACAAGAGATTAGAGGGGAACTTGCATTTATTTGTTGGTTACTTACTTTTTGTCCAGCAGGTGGGGGATGCTTCCCTCACAACACTCCTCCTATACAAGGGAGGTGAGTTATAAGGCTACTGCAACTAAAGTTCCTGAAACCCCAAGACTCTGTGCTCTTTATGCTCCCATGGAACTTTGTCTGTTTCTAGATCCCGTTGCTGATATCAGAATGCCTTCTATTCAATGACAAAGATTCTTTGCTTGACCAAATTGTAGTCAGGCTTCTCAACCTTCTCCTAGGCCCATCTGTGTGCACTTGTAAAAATCTTGTAAAAATCTAGTCTTAGCGGGGTGCCTGGGTGGCTCAGTTGGTTAAGCGTCTGCCCTCGGCTCAGGTCATGATCCTGGAGTCCCAGGATAGAGTCCCACATTGGGCTTCCTGTTCAGTGGGGAGTCTGCTTCTTCCTCTGACCCTGCCCCCTCTCATGCACTCTTTCTCACTCTCTCTCAAATACATAAAATCTTCTTTAAAAAAATCTGGTCTTAGCAAGAACTTTGCTAACTCAATTTATCCAGAAACCCTCCCCCTTCACTATCTGATCACCTTGCTATCTGATTAGGTCCCTCATCCTCCACTGTCTCCCCAATGATGCCTGATCACCCTGGCCTGTCTTCAGCAAGAATCCTGGTAGGTCTGCTTAGCCAGAATCCCCCTGACCCCTGATGTTTCTTCTTAGTAATTTTCTATCACTTGACCCTCGCTCTGTTCCTTGACTATAAACCCCCCCCCCTTTGCTCATGCTGTATTCATAATTGAGCCTAATTTCTCTCCCCCACTGCAAAATTCCATTGCGGTAGACCCTATACCTATGGTGATCTTCCCCCTCCCATGAATAAAGTCTTCCCTAAGTGTCACTGAATTTTTTTTTTCTTTAACATTGGGTAGGAAGAAACTAACCTGCTAGCTCAACCATAGGGTAGAGATCCTTGCTTCTCATAAAGACAGGAAACAGCTGAGCAGCCCTTGGTGCTGGAGTGCCTTAGACCTGAAGCCAGACAAATTTACCCAAAAGATAAAGACAAAAAGAAAATACAGGAATAGAAAAAAGTGAAGTTCTCATTTGGGATCTGAAAGGAAATATAGACAGGAGGCTAGAGAGCACCATCCAGCTAAGAGGGTCTCCTTGACTTCTCTCCTTCCTCTGAATTCCCACTATGGCAGCTAACATATAATGAGGGCTTATTACACACAGCACAATTTATCTACGTTATATCACTTAATCCTCACAACTGTCCTATGATGTGGAGTCTAAGGAAAGGGTGAGAAGAAAAGTGATTTACCCAATGACACACCCAGAAAACAGCCAAACCAGGGAAAAACCCCAAATGTCTGACACAAAACCGTATGTCCTTAACTCTTTGTACATTTGCTCATTCATTAATTACCTCAGAAATTCTATAAACATTACTAAGCCATTCTGGAAAGTACTGGGGTGAGTAAGACAGTGTTCAGGTAAAACAGTGAAGACTTGAGCACATATAAGATGTGACAAATAACCACAACACATTAAAACCTCCTATAGGATTTCGCAAGGAGGCAAGGTCACTCTGGCTGGAAAAAATCACAGAGCTCAAGGAAAGCTTCACAAAGGAAGTAGCATTTGAGATGAGCCTATATAAGCAGATGATGTTTTTTACACTAAGTGTTTTACCTGCAATATACGTTGCTCATTACCATGCATAAGCAATGGAAGACTGTGCGAAATTTTAACTGGCAGAGATGGGAAGGTAGAGGCATGGAGGAAAGAAAGGGTCCGATTGTTCAGAATGTACAGAAGCCCCAGTTCAATTGCCCGCTTCTGTCTCAACATCCAGCCTCAAATCCAATGACTTAGGGGTATTTTCCCCTTATGAATGTATTCAGAATCATGTATATTCAGTGAAACCCTATGAGGCCATTAAAAAAATGAATTACTTAATGAACTGATAGGAAATTTTTTCCAAAATGTAATCTTAAATGAAAAAAAAATTATTAAAAATTATTTGTGTGATAATGGGGAACAAATTGTGTGCCCTGGCCTGTTTATGTGTCAAATATGGAAGGATCCCCAGGGTGCTGAGAACAGTAATTGCTTTCCTGGAGGGGAACTATGTGGCAGAGGGACAGGATGACAGGGAGATTTGTCACTGTCTACATTTTTGTGTCCTTTGACTTTTTAACTATGTGGGTGGATTATCTATTAGAAAAATAAACAAATATGAGTTGAACTTTTTAAAAAGTAACTGTATTAGTCTCTAAAGGCCATTCCCTGAAAAAGGGCATATATTGTAATATGAAGGTAGAAGGAAAAGCGGTTTACTTAGGTGGGCAGTCTCAAAACTTTAGGCCTTAATTTGCATGGCAAAAATTTTATATATCTATATATATATAGTAAATAAACAAACAATAGAACAGGTAATATATTTATTATTACTTTTTTTTAAAAGATTTTATTTATTTATTTGGCAGAGAGAGACAAAGCGAGAGAGGGAACACAAGCAGGGGGAGTGGGAGAGGGAGAAGCAGGCTTCCCGCCGAGCAGGGAGCCCGATGCGGGGCTCGATCCCAGGACCCTGGGACCAGGACCTGAGCCAAAGGCAGATGCCCAATGACTGAGCCACCCAGGTGCCCCACTATTAATTTTCTTAACATAAGACATCTCCTAGAAAGCAATAAGAAAAGAACCTATAACCCAGTTCAAGAATGGCAAAATGTGTTTCCTCTTAACAGAATATAAATGGAGTCATAATCTTTTTTTAAAAATGACCAACCTCATTTGTGATTAAAGAAAGGCAAATTAGAATTTTCTTTTGTAAGGGGCTTCGGAAGGCTGCCTTTAATCTTTACTTTTGGTCCCATTGCCAAGAAGAGTTGTTCGAAAGGTCGTTAATACCTGAGTTCGGAAGAAACAGCTTATAATCGAGAAAATGCCGCCTCTTGAAACGGATATAGCAGTGGAAACCGAAGAGAGAGTAAGGTTTGATCATCATATAATACAGGAGCTTAAAGATCTATGCTCATTGATAAAGAGGCTAATGTCAGAGCGCTTGGAAAGTATCAAGGAGAGAGCGCTAACAGAAATGTGCAAGCCTGATCAGTCACAAAATCAAATTACCGAAGTAAATGCAAAACAAGAGAAACCTGCAGAAAAAAAGGAAAAATAAATAAAAGAGAAGAAGAGAAATCTACAGGATCGGTCCAGGAGATACAATCTACACATAATAGGAATACCTGAAACGGGAAAGCAAATGAAGCTGAAACAATAAGGACCTAATTGAAGAAAATATTCCAGATTCGAAAAACGAACTAAATCTGCAAATAGAAAAAGTTCATAGAGTACCAGTAAAACAACGAAAAGAAAGCAACACCTAGACATATCCTAGTGACATTTTTAAACTGGAAGGATAAAGAAAAAAATTCTCCCAAGTATTCAGAGAAAGCAGGTTACCTGTAAAGGGGTAAAAGTCAGACTGACGCGATTTTTCTCTTGCAACTGAAAATGCCGAAAGGCAAGGCCAAGGGGGCAGTATCTACAGTTTTAAGGGAAAATGATTTTGAACTAAGAGTTACATATCCTGCCAAGTTATCGTTTCTAAATGAAGGCAATTGGCAGACATTCCTAGATATGCAGGGGTTAAGAAAGTATATCAGCCAAATACCATTCTTGAAAAATTTGCTAAATGCTGTTACTGCAGCGCACAAAAACAAGAGTAGTGAGGCAATTGTATTAAAAAAAATGGCGGGTAAGCATTAAACCTAGTTAAGTATCATTAAAGATTAAATTGTTATATGTAGGGTTATAAAACTAAATGCAAAGATAAATTCTTGAGTTGGGTCTAAAATTTCAGTTTGTCTTGTTTTAAACCGCAAAGGTGTGATAAATGTTCAATGTAGACAATAAGTAAGTACTGTTTTTAGCATGTAATGTGGATAAAGATATGTATGCTCTTCAGCTAAACAAATAAAAGGGCTTTCTTACTGTGGTGGACAGGACACCTAGAGTAAAGGCATTCCAAGTGTTAATCTCATAAAATGGGAAATTGGTACAGTATTGTGTCCTTTATTTTTAATTGTAGAGGGTGGGGAAAGTAACAAGTTTGTTTATAATGTTAATGCTGACAGTGTAAAGAAAATTTCCAAATCCCTGACTGGGGAGGTGGTAGATGAAAACCTTGTTTTATGTACATCTTGCCTAGGGAAAATCAGTAGTAACCACTTCATGTAGTAGTTCATTCTAAGTAAATTTGACATTGAGATAAGTGTTACAGATAAAACTGGAGAGGAAATGGTGAAAAAACAAAAACAGCAAGGAAACATTAAAATTAGCATAAAACAGATTAACAGATCACACTCATAAACAGGCTAAATATCCCTGTTAAAAAGATTCAAATTGGGTCAAAAATCAGTCTCTGAACCTGGAGGTTCACATTTGTATAAAACAAAGGATAAAGGAGTTTAAAGATAATGAAAACTGTTAAGGCATAGAAATTGAAATAGGGAGCAACATTTTTATGAGAATTCTTTTTTTCCCCCATGGTACCTCCACACCCATTTTTTTTTTTTATCAGAATTTAAGCTATAACAAAGTATAAAACAGTGTAGGATGTAGCATTTAAGAAGCTTCATGTGGTAAATAACATGGCATTCATCTGTAAAATGTTCAATATCTTGATGTGAGTGGTAGTTTTACTGCTGTATATATAGTTTTTAAGTGCATTCTAAAATAAAGTAATTCTTAATTCAAAAAAAAAAACAAAAAAAAAGAAAGGCAAATTAGAACAATGAGTTCTTGCTTTCTCACCAACAAGACTGCAAATATCAAAAAGTTGGATGTTACAGAGTGTTAATGAGGGTATAATAAAAGTACTGTTGGAAGGGGTATAAATTGGTATGCTTTCTTTGGAGCGCAAATTAGCAATGCCTGTCAGCCTTGGAAATGAGCATACCTTTGGCCCATCAATTCTAATTTTGAGAGTTGATCCTAGAGAGATAATCCTTACATGCGTACAAGGACAAATGTACAAAATTATTCATTGCAGCAGTCTTTGTGATTACAAAAGATCAAAATCAGCCTAAATATTTTCCAACTGTAGAAACAGCTGCATCTAAACAGAGGGACACTAGATAGGTGTTGAAAAGAATAATGTGGGTCTGTAGTGCTGTTGTGACAAGATGATCTTAATTTAGTCCCTCATTATCTCTTACCTGGACAACAGGAATAGCTTCTCAATAGGTCTCCCTGCTTTCGTCTTGTCCCCTTGCAGGACCTGTACATAATTGGCGGGGCCTGGTGCAAAATGAAAATGCAGGGCCCTTGGTTAAAAAAATATTAAGATTCCAAGAGAGTGACAGCAGAGCATTGGAACACGGATGGGGGCCCTTCTAAGAGTGAGTCCCTGGGTGACCACAGAGGTCGAGCACCCCTTTGCCACGGGCTGCGAACATGGCGTGCTGTTCTTTCTACCTGAACCACCTTGTCACCACCCTCTCTTTTTCTAACTGATGCACCACATGCCTGTCAAGAAATCACTCAAATGTCACCTGCTTTGGGAAGTTTTCCTTGAACCCTCTTACCCAAGATGCTCTTTCTTTGGTGCTCCCCCAGCTCTTGCACCAAGCCTTATTCACTCTTCCTTCCAATGAATCACAACTACGTGTTTAAAAGTCTCTCTCCCGGAGCTTCTCCGGGGCTTGGCCTGTGGCTTATGATTTTTTGGTAACCCTAGCACCTCACCCGTTGCGTAGCACATGGGATTTGGGAGAATGAATGAGTTGGAGTGGATGAGTTTGGGTGGGTGTGCTAAATAATGAGTCAGATTGCTTCCAGGTTACACCTCCCCCTCGTGTTGCTAAATCTGGCTGGACTCTAATCTCACTGAGGACAACAGGCCCTGATGGCTGGCTCTTGCTTCTGAGAGTCATGATCTAGTTTAAAGATGGTCCCCTGGAGTGGTGGGAGATGCGTGAGCCTGAAGGCCCTTTGGAGGATTCCCCCCAAACCGCCCACAACCATCTCTGAATCTCCTTATACAAGTTCAGGCTTTTAAAATGGGGGTCTGTAAACAAACAAATAAAATAAAAATAAAATAAAATCGGGGTCTGATTTCATCAGGGCCAGCCAGCTCCATCAGTCAGTTCTAGGTTCCAAGGACCTGACAGTAGCTTTAGGTTGTCCCTACTCCTTTGCAAATCTGGCTTCCAAACGGAGGTATGCAATATCCCTATGATACATGAAGATTTCTCAAAAGGTAATCATGCACTGGTATTTTTAAGGGAATTAATTTCTATATCCTCAACTTCCATAGGTACTCTACCTGAGAAAGTTCCTGGAAATGAGGCTCCAAACGGCTTTTCCTTTCTTTTTCTTATTATTTATTTATTTATTTATTTAAGAGAGAGAGAGAGAGAGAGAGAGTGTGTGAGCATGAGTTGGGGGAGGGGCGGAAGGAGAGGGAGAAGCAGACTCCTCGCTGAGTGGGGAGCCCGCCCTGGGGATTTTCCTTCTTAACTGTAGTTCTGCTAGTCTTCATAAGAAAGGTATATCCCTGGCCCACCCTGAATCTTACTAGGGTATATTGCCCAAGGCAATAAAAAAAAATCCTGGAGGTAACAAAGGGACTTTTAAAAATACCAGTTTCAGGAAAACATCTTTTAATTA